AAATCCTTCGGAGATCGAAAAGAACTATACTCTATCTTCCAAAAGCCAGGTTTTCAGTCAATTATTCTGAGTAGCACATGGTTAAATAACGGGATACTTTTGACCTTTTTTTAAACTAGTCACAAGTAGGTCGCATAAATTCAATTAGATTGTGTAAATAAATGGTCAACAATGGCTCAAATTGTTGTCAACACATGTTTTGATGCTGTTTTTTAAGATTTGTTACATTTCATCAGTCCAGGTTTTTTTTTAATTTTATTACGCGACGTTCCGAGATTTGCCTGAAATTTTGAGCTTCAGGAGCGGCATTTTGGCGAAATTCAGTTATTATCGATTTTCAAGGAAATAAATCGATATTCAGCCAAACGAAGTACACAATGGTTTTTTTTTCTCTCTAAGGCCTACCTAAGAATTTGAACCAAATTGGTTTTTTGGCTTTTGCCACCATATTTTGAAACGTTCGATTTTTGGCCACATTTGCTCTTAAAATCGACGGTGACAACAGTCCCAACGATCAATAGGGAAATATTTTGTAGGACTGTACACTTAAAACACCCGGCTGGTTTTTTCCTACATTTTGCTCCATTCTCAATCAAAGTTCACTTTATAAACCTCGAAAACGAAGAGCAAACAGGCAAAAGAATACTCCACTGGAAAGAAACGGGCTTTAAAGTCTTGAAATTGACGATGATGACAGTCCCAAAGATATTTATGGAAACATTTTGTCGCGCCGCGTGAGCGATTTAAATACTTGTTTCTGAAGTTGATTTTCGCGTATCCACGTGGCTGCCACATGGGTGTATGTCACGTATATTTGGCAGCTGGTTTACCATGCTTTCAGTGAGGTTTTAAACGTTTCATTTGATTTTACCCTTAAGATATACAATTGTGCGATTATATCAACCCGGTAATTACTGTGAAAGATTTGTAACCAGTTTTGATAAATTTAAAATTGTTTCACAGCCGCACCTCCCTCATATCCTCAGTAACGGTTGTTATGATATGTCAGAAATAATCTGATAGGACCTCTCACATTTTCAGACATTTACAAAATTCTCAACCATGTCGCAATCTATGTTCTGATGAGTATTTAGCATCTTAGATCACGCTCCCACAGCTCTCCAACTCAAAATCAAAGAATTTATTCACATTCAGTGGGAGCAACCTACGCTTCATCATCATTTCTATCACGATAATTTAAAACTTTCCTTGTAATTGCA